GTTATCTATGTGTGTTTCTGCCCTAACCAATACAGTTGGACCTCACAATGATAAAAAATATATATATATCCTTCATCATCTTTCTGCTCTTATGGTGTCTGGTTGGTGCTTTGTGCTCAGTGATGGTCCATGTGGTAAGAACTGGTTTGATCTGGTTGAACAAAATTCTGCACTGTTAGTCCTTTTTCCTACTGATGGACTCACAGCTGCTACTCCAATACTCTTTTTGCCTAGCACACAGCTACATGCACCAGAGATCCTACACAAACTGGTGTTGACCTGTGGTTTGTTGATGTTTTAGACAACAGTGGATGGTCAAGCACAGTAAGTCCATTCCTCTTTCTTCCTCACTGCGTGACAGCACCAGACACTCCCTGAAGGATAAATAACACACAATGAATTTTTGCCACCTTGGACCAAAAGCCTGCCTCTCAGCCTCCTCCATACTACCTAAAGTACTCTCCTCCTCCCCGTCTTCCAATTCTCTCAGTCTTTTAGTCAGCTCCTTTTGTTTTTCTGGAAATGTGTGTGTGTGTGTGTGTGTGTGTGTCCTTTGTTCCCATGGTAACCAAATTCTTTGTTCTGACATTGGGTAAAATAAAATACAGTGCCCTAGAGAACTTCTTTGAAGATGGGAGTTAGAAACTTATTAACAGGCTTACAAAAATAATATGCATACTTTCTGTTTACTTCCTTTTAGGAGCTCAAACCACATTATGAGCATTCCTTAACTCACACTCAGGCATGCTTGTGAACTCAGGAGCTGTGGGCACTGTGTTGTTTTCCTCCGTGTCCAGCCTGGAAGCTGAGGCAGGGAGGAATGAGGCACCTTTTCTTGGATCACCAGCTGAGTCACCACAGACCAGCTCCCCTCATGTTCCAAGGCAATGTCCCTGAATAGGGTCTGGTTTTTTGGCTTGTTTCTGTGGCTCTGTGATTGGGGTCAGGGTGAGTTGGTTATATGATCAGAGAAGACAACACATGGATGTTTCCATGACTCTCCCAACTTTGTTTGCTTTCTAGTAAAATGCTTCCATGATGAAGCAGTAGGGAACTTTTAATCTTCATTATGAGCATCTTGGTCTGCCTAGGAACAAATGGAAAGAAAGAGGGGCAGTTCCAGTAGTGAATTTTTGGAATCCCTTAGTGAGATATTCTCCTGATTAACTTCAGCCAGATTTCCTCCTTCTCAGACAACCCTTCTCAATGTCCTTGCCACATCCTCTTTATCCACCCACCACTGAGGTATTAGGATTCCCAGGAGAAACCTTCTGACCCTCTGCAATATCAGTACCTGCATCACCCCTTACCATGACTGCAGCCAGTGCCTATGTGGTGAGGATGCCCAATTTCTGTCACCAGATCCATCACTTTCCCAGTGGCTATCTCTGACTCCAATTCTTTCCTGAGTCTAAGATTTTTAGTGTCAGACCACAATTTAGTACTCAGTTAATAACTCACATGAATGTATTTCACAAAGGCACCTTAACGTCATCATGCCCCCAGACCAGACCGTTAGTGCCCCATCCCCACTGCTCCTTTCCAGAGTCACTCTGCAGCCTTTAATCCCTATTCCAGTTAGAGGCGTCTGCTTCCAACCAGGGGCTTACCTATAGCCCAGGAGAACCCTCTCCTCTCCCTCTCTTACCTCCCCTTCATGTCCAATCACCTTTCAAATCTGCCTTGCCCAGGCCTTCATCGCCTCATAATGGCTATTCCTGGCCCCCAGTGTCCTCCCACCCCAGTCCCCCACCATTTCCACCGTCTCTCCACTGCCACCAGAGGAATCTTTCTAAATTGCAACCTGCTCATATCGGTCCCTTGCCTTAAAACCCTTTTGTGGGTTCTTCTTGGCATCTGGGATTAGGAATTTGAAGAAGTTGCATAAGGTTCCCCTATATGGCTCTGGTCAACCCAGGCTTCCTGTTCTAGCTCCCAACACTGTCCTCTTGGTACGTGCTCAGAGGGTTATTAGGTGAATGAGTGGGTGAATTCGGCAGCATACTGACGTATTTAAACACTTAACTCAGGAGTAGGTCTTAAGTGCTATCTTTAGGTCTGTCAACCTGAAGACAATCTCTTTTTATTGTTTTGTCTTAGATTTGTTTATTTTGCCAAGGGCACTGTGTTAGATGTGCTGGGTACATCAGTGGATAGAAAGTGACAAAGATCCCTGCCATCATTGAGCCTCTAGTCTACCAGGGGGCATAAAACAATGAACATGCTTGGGCTGGGGATGTGGCTCAAGTGGTAGCGCGCTCACCTGGCGTGCGTGCGGCCCGGGTTCGATCCTCAGCACCACATACAAACAAAGATGTTGTGTCCGCCGAAAACTAAAAAATAAATATTAAAAATTCTCTCTCTCTCTCTTAAAAAAAAAAAAAACAATGAACATACTACAGTTTAGATTTTGAATGGCCCATGTGTTAAAAGGACAGTCCCCAGCTTGGTGCTGTTGAGAGGTGGCAGAACCTTTAGGAGGAGGTGCCTACTGGGAAACCTTCAGGTCACTGGGGATGTCCCCTGCAAGGAGATTGTAGGACCCTACTTCTTCCTTTTTTCCCCTTTTGTCACCTGGCTATGAGTTGAGCAGTGTGCTCTCCCTGCCATGACCATCCAGCATCCCCCAGAGAGACCTAAAGAGCAATGGGCTGGCTGCCTGATGGTGAACGAGACCCTCCAAAACCTGGAGCCAAATAAACCTCTATTTTAAGTTAATTTTCCCAGGTATTTTGCAACAAAAAGCTGACTAACAGAACATAATAAGTAAATCTTATTGATATGTACTGGAAAGAAAAGGGAAGGAGGGGAAAATGAGGGAAGGAGGAAATGAAAAAGATTGGAAGGGGGGAGGTTTTATAAGGTTAAATAGGGTTTTGAGAGTAGACCTGAGAAAGTGAGAATTGTTAAATGAGCCAGTTCATGATACTACTTTAGATTACCGTCATGTCCCTCACCTGCAGAATCAGGATTGAAAGCCTGTCCTGAGAGAATTGCAAAGTATAACAGGCCCTCTGTATTGGCTGGTTCTGCATCTTCAGATTCAACCAACTGTATGTCAAAACTGTTTGGGGAAAATTTTTCATCTGTACTGAATATTCACAGACTTTTGTCTTGCTATTATTCCCTAAACATAACAGTACTTACCATGCATTAGGTATTATAAATAGTCTAGAGATTATATGGGAGGATGTGCATACGATATATGCAAATACTGTGCCATTTTATATAAGGGACTTGAGCATTCACAGATTTTGGTACCCTAAGGGGGTCCTGGAACTCATCCCCATGGATACCAAGAAATAGTTAACAATAAAAGCTGCAGTGTGCTGTGAGTTTACTATCTTATAAGCTCTGGGTTGAGCAGTTTGCTGTCTTCTCTCCTTTTATCTTCTGAATCAGTGCTATCGTCATTCATATTTAACAAAGGATCTTAAGGGTCAAGAAGTTAAGAATTTTCACAAGACCATGAGTGGAAGTGGCAGAGCTAGAATTTGAGCATCCACATTAGCCATTTTGCCTCCAACTGATGAATGGCCACATTTGAGGACCAGTCCTTTTGGGCATTTCCAAAATAAGTAGTTTGAAGAGCCTTTTCACAGTTGGGTATCATTCACTGGCAGGGCCTTCAGGTAGCTTCAACACTTTTTCTCACCTCCAGCATCTTATTTGCTTCAGACAGGTGGTTCTCAATCTAACGATGTTCTGAATGAGAAACTTTGGCATCTTGCAGACTTTTATTGCTAGAAAAAAAAACTTTCTGAATCTTCCTTCTCTGTCTACAAATCCAATTTCCCTTTTCTTGAGCCCCAATGAAACTGGAGTTCAACTTTCTTCATCTCCTTATACTCCTTCGTCAATATATTTGAAGAACCAAGCCTCGTCTGCTTCAATTGGTCTCGGCTCCATCTCTCTTCTGTAGCTCTTGTCTAGACATTATAATAACCAATCCCTCACAGATGAATCCTGGGTGTTTTTCACATCAGCGACCCTGTAATCAACATGCTGAATGCTTGCTGAGCATGACTAACCACTTATAAAAGAGCAAAGCATGATTCAGAGAACTCCACCAAAAATAATGCGTTATTTGGCCTCGTCTTAGCCTGGTACAAATTCAGACTTTTGAGTCATAAAGCTCATTAGAAATGCCATGTATTGACTCTAATAAAGATTTTAGTGCAACCAGATTTAGAGTGGTATAGTTAGGGTAGGCTACAGGATGAATTTGGGTTCAGAGGCAGATGACGTCAGGGACATAATAATCTCTTGAAAACGAAGGCCTTATTACTTTTGTCCCCAGCTTCTGCCATCAAGAAAAACACCTGATTTGGGAGATGTCTCAACCTAATAGAAAAAGCAGGCTTTCGTGATCTGAGCAGAAGGGATTTATTAAAAGGGGTTTTCTTATTTGGGGTATGTGTAAAACTGACATAGATCCCTCCTAAAACTTGCTTGGGCCCCCTGCCTTCATTAGCCCTGATTTAATGAAGCTGTCACATATCCCTGCTGGATGAGTTCCATCACTATAGTTGCTCTGCTTTGAAAGCAACAGTAGCTACTACCTTTAACAGCAGCTCCACCCTAGCTCCCTGATGTCCTCCTTCCTACTAGTGACAGAGGCCAGAAGAGGAGAGCAGTAGAGGGAGCTAGAGAGAAGGGTGAAGGGTGGCCCTGGGACAGTTAGCTCACCACCTCTTTGGGAAATTGCAGATAAGGGAAGCTGGCATTTAGCATGGGGCTAACATGTTTGAGGCCCTGCATTATAGTTCTTCACCTCTGTTGTTGCATGTAACACTCATGACTGTGGAGGAAAAAGAAAATATATTATAGATTTTACAGATGAGGAAGCTGAGTCTCAGAGAGGTCCAGTTCTCCTATCTAGGAAGTGACGGATATAGTCTTACTACACTGAATGCTTGTCACAGTGACCTTGGCTATGGCCCCCCTCTCCCCACTAAGGTCACATCCTTTCTTACCAGCCCTTGCTCTTGTATCCTCAGGCAGTTTGGTGGTTATGCCAAGGAAGCTGACTACGTAGCTCATGCCACCCAGCTGTGTGCTGCCCTGGAGGGCACAGCCACTTACCGAAATGACATCTACTTCTGCACTGGATATGACCCTCCCATGAAGCCCTACGGACGTCGCAATGAGGTCTGGCTCGTGAAGACCTGAGTGACTCATGGCATCGAGAGCTTCCTGGAAGTGTGCCTCTGCGTTCCCTGACTTGGGGTCAGGAGGGGCCAATGCTTCTCAAGTTCCAGCTCTCCTTCAAAGCCAGTCACTGCCAGTTTTCTGAAATAAGCGCAGTCCGTATACTGAGGTTCTTTTTCTCGTGGTGGGGAATAATACAGCCAAGATAGGCAATATGGTTCTTGTTAATTTAGAATTTTCTGTGGCAGATCAGAAAAACTCCAGCAGTACTTTCTCAGCCATATGGGCCACTAAAAACTGATTTTTAAACATCACTGAATTTGTATTTCTGTTAATGAGGGAATATGTGAATTGTTCACGATCTTTCAGCTTGATTCTTATAACAGCTTGTCTAAAAATAAACCAAATATAAAGATCTCTGACTTAAGCAGTTGAGACAAATCTTAAGTATAATTATTTTCAAGGTTCTGCAGTCTTACAGATAATATAGTTATTAGTACTGTTGACGGTGTTTTTCACAGCAGGAATCCTGTGTTTGGAGTTCCAAAGTCCTTCTGAATGTTAACACAAAGACCCTGGGGAAGGGGATGTTCACCGTGTGCTTGGCTGTCTCTAAACTGGTGTTTACCAGGACCATCATGGAGCACGTAATATGCCCCTAAGGTGAGCATCACTGTGGCCCATGGAGGGTCCCAGAAGTTACAGAAGCAGACCAAGGAGAAAAATCATTTGCAATCACAAACAACTCTGGGGGCAGGGAGTTTGCCAGGAGGACCTATTTGGGATGATGAGATACAAAAAAAGGCTGTGGTTCAATTTCCTTAACTAAAAGGAACAGAAATGACATGCAGTTTGGCTGCAGAGAAGGAAAGAGGAGGCGAGGCTGTGAGCGGGAAGTGCAGAAAGCTAGGCTGGATCAGGGCTGTGGGTGAGTGTGTGCACATGGAAGAGGTTGGTGGGTCACAAGGCATGTAGAGGGTGCTCCGCTCCTCCCAAGGCATACCAGAGTCTGAAGCTGTCCCCCACCCTATCTAGGACAGATGGAAAGGTTTTCCAGGAGAATCTCCACCTCAGATCCACCTGTGGCCCAACTGGGTTGGGTCCAACTGGGTTACTACCTGAGAAGTGAGGGCTCAGTGGCGTGCTTAGTAGGGAAAGAGAAAACAGCCTTCTCACCACAGAGGCTCTCACTGGACAGGAGTGAGGTTTCCCAAGGAGTGGAATGAGAGCTGCACATAACTTTTCCTAGAGATCTTCCTGGGTCTCTTCTAAAGGCAAGTCATGGCCATTTCTGAAGATCAGCCTTGATTGTCTGCCAGATATCATGCTGGACACCATGCATGCACCCCCCTACCCATATGTTCCATGCTCAGTCTCTAGGGAAAGGGAGGTACCATTAGATCCCCACAAAGAGATGAGGAGACTGGAGCTCCCATGGGTTTTCACACGGAACTCAGGGCCAAGACAAAAGGACACCACAGGGACCTTAGCACATGTCAAACAGTTTAGATTTTGTCCTGAGAAAAATGAACAGTACTTGAGTGAGTTTGAACAGGACATGATACCATCATGTCTTAGCAGGGAAATTCTGTCCATGGCATGGAAAATAGATGGGAAGGGGATGTGTCAGGAGGCAAAGAGACAAGCCGCAATGCTAGGTAAAAGATGATAGTGGCCTAAACTGGGATGGTGGTGGTGGAGATGGAACAACATGGACAGTTTGGAACAAGAGAGGATCACCAGGACTCGGTGAATGATGGGTGAATGAGATCAGGGAGAAAGTTTTGATGAGGATCAGAGCATATTACCCTCAAGTATGTCATTTTGTCACATTGATTATTTTGAGCTAAAGGCAATTGAAAATAGAGACCAGAAGGTTTCTCTGCTCTCCCCTTTTCTACCTAAAGCAGAGTACATTTTTCCTGAGAAATCTGCTCTTCTTGTACCAGGAAGAGAACATTCATGTCACCAGGGACGAGGGGGGGTCAATGACAAGATGAGTCTGTACAAACAGTACTCAGGGGTTACTTTTATAAGGTAGAAAAGTTCTTAAAAAGTAACCTTATCTTCCATAAGTCATCCAGTAAACTTCCTAGTCTCTTTCCCATGATTTACCACCCCGAGCTCCAGCCCCTTTCTCCTTTGCCCTATCATGTCTCCACATTTGCTGTTCTTTGTTAAAATGGTATGGAAGCCCTGGGTCTAGCTCCTGCTTCAGGGTTTTTACTTCTTCTGGGAAGCCCTCTCCCATACCACATAAAAATATTCATATCAGATAAAGTGTGTATGCTTTTTCTCCTGCTAGTCTCCTTGGTCAGTTCAACCCACAGGCCCCAGCCATAGTATTTAGGAAGGTCACGTACAACATCCAGGATTTGGGCTTGGGCGTGTGAGTGGGTAGTGTCATCCCTCAAGGTAAAAACAGGTGGGAAGCAGCTTGGCTAGGGGATAGTGTCCAGAGGACGTATTTAGTTTGCAAAGCCTTCAAGTGAGGCTACCTAGGGGACGGCTGGGAGTGTGAGTCTGATGGTTAAACAAGGAACCTAACTCAGTAACTGTGTTTGGATGCCATGTAGAGAGAGATGGAGTGGGTAAATAGGAACTCAGAGAAAGGCTGTGGAGGAGGAAGGAACAGAACATTTGAAGAAGAGCAGAGAAAAAGAGTCTGACAATGACAAAAAAGAAGTGGTAGAGGAGACATGTCAGAAAATGGAAAAAGAAACCCGCCATTGTGAGAGTGCTCTGACCCAGTCCTGAGTCATCCGGCGTCCTCCTTCACCTAACTCCTACAAGAGCCCCTCCCTGGCCTTCACACTTGCACTCCTGCCTCCCTTTTTCTACACAACATCCAGAAAGATCTTTGCTTTAAAACTCTTTTTTTTTTTTTCCACTTACACTGAGATTCAGACTCCACTTTGAGACCTGTAAGGCCTTGTGTGATCTGGCCCCTGACTTTTCTCCACGCTCCCTCATTTCTAGGCTCTCTTTCTATCCTCCAGCCTTGGACACACTAAGCCCTGCTTGACCCTAGTAGCTGCAGTAGCTGTTATGTCTGCCTGATTCCCTTTTTGTCCCCTTTTCAATGGCTGGGTCTTCTCATCCTAATAGTCCTAACTTGACCCCCTTCTCAAAGAGGCCTGCAATGGCCCCTCTGTCTAAAGTACCACCTCCCTATGGTGTTCTGTCACAGCATTTTTTATTGTTTTTCTTTATAACACAAATCATCACTTGTAATGTTTTGAACTTATTCACGTCATTTTTCTCACACCAGGTAAGTTTGGTGAAAAAGAGATTCATATCTGCTTTGTTCTCCATTAAATGGCCATCACCTACCTCAGGGATTTATCATTTAGGAGTAAATTAAGCTGTAAGTAACAGAATACTTAGACATCAGTAGCTGAAACCAATAATGTCTTCTTTCCTCTCATAGCAAAAAATCCAGAGGTAGGTTCTGTGACTCAATGCTGGCACCTCTGAAATTGTTCTCTTTCCCATGGGGCTGCAAGATGACTGGTGCAGCACCTGCTATCACAGTCAGTGTTCAAGGCCAGAAAAGGGGAAGAGGAGAAGATGCTGTATCAGTTGCATCCATCCCATTTTACAAGAAAACACAAACTTCCCCAAAGTTCCCAAAGCAGCAGGAGGCAAAGCGTCCTTATGGAATCAGTTCTATGTTCAGTTCTATAAACCAGTTCCTATATTTCACGGGTCAGAACTGACACATAGGGCCCCCTATAGCCAGAAGAAAACTGGGGAAAGTGTGTGTGTGGCTGTCCAACTTCTGTCATGAGAGCAGCGAGGGAGAAGGATGTTCAGAATGGCTTTGGGGTAGCTGGTCAACAGTGTTTTCTGGAAGGGGACAAAGAGTAGGTGTGTGTGCCTGGGGTCAAGAGTGTGGGAAGGTGGGAGGTGGGAGACATCTGGGAGTTGGGGTGAGGCCAGACTGCAGAAGATCCTACAGACTTGGATTCTGCATCTGGCTTCTGAGCCAATGGATACTGGTTCAGAGGCACTTTCCTACCTGCTCTCCCAGTGTCTCCTGCTCCCACCCCGCTCTCCTCTCTTCACCTTTGAAAAGCCAAAAGAATGGAGGATGGTCAAGGGAAAGAAGGGAGAAGTGATTTCAGCCACCTGCCCCACACGGAGGACATAGCAGGTGACTGGATAATGGTGATATTATAAATGGAGGGGGAAAGAGACAGGACCTAAGGAGATGAAATAAGTTCATCGTTATTCTGAATTTAATAGTGACAAACAGAACTAGAGACCAGAGTTTCTAATTGCCAATCTATGGGCTGGCAGAGCAGTCTTGTTTCCTGATTCCCCCCTCCCACACTCCTAATCAGTATCTTTCCCAAAATAGAAGCTGATGAAGGCCTCATCTCATTCTTCTTTCCCTAGGGTCTGGAGTAAAACTTTAGAATGCTGTACAACTAAGTTGGAAACTAGTCAACAGGAGACTGCAGATACCAACAAATACCTAATCTACACTCTAGGCCTAGTGCCCAAGGTCACAGCCTCAAGGCTGAAGCCTCTCCAGAACTGATTCTGTAAGGATGCTTTGCCTCCTGCCAGAAGCCACCTTCCTGTGGCATTAATATTCCCTTGCATTTTTGTGAGCTCCACCCAGTAAAATTTGTTCTGCCTGAACCACGGTGCAATATCACATTCTTAGGCTTCTATGAGTGTTTAAGACCCTGGGATGATTGTTATAAACACAGGGGAACCCTAGGCTAAGTTCAGGGAGCTGGTTGGTCATCACTTGTTTCAGGAAGATCTTTTTCATTTACACTTGGCTTCTCCACTCTTGAGTAATGTTACTTTGATCTTGAGCACAGTAATTAAAGTTTCATAGCATGCCACATTGACAGGTATTTATTTGGTTGAATGCCATGGATTTTGCCTTTGAATTTATACTCTTGACTAGCTCTCGGCTTTTCCCTTAGAGATATTTTGTTTCTATAGCAACAATTATTCTGCCGGAATTTCATGCACCAACCCAAACAACATAGCCATCAATGCAAAATTAAGAACCAAACCAGGTGAGGTCAATGCAGAGTGGACTGCAGTGTGGTGACAATTGGTAAAACCACCTCTTATCTCTTCTTTATCATCAATCAACTAGACTCTCATCAAAAAGTCATTTTGTAGCTGCTCAGACCCCAGCTTCTTCCTATATGATGATTCTTCCTCTCTCCAGGGTTCCTTGTCCTCCAGTGGCATTGGGATAATTGCTGTTACCCGTAGGGTTCTCCCACCCCATTCCCTTCTGCATGCCTTCGTTCAATCTGCTCCTATACCTAGAATCCTCTCCCCATTCCTCAAGTCCAGTGCTAGCATCTTTGAATTCTTCCCTGATCCTTGCAGTAATACCTTTCTTTTCTGTGATTTATGACCCCCACTTAACATCCATTGCTTAAGGAGATG